GAGAGAGAGAGAGAGAGAGAGAGAGAGAGAGAGAGAGAGAGAGAGAGAGAGAGGGAGAGAGGGAGAGAGAGAGAGAGAGAGAGAGAGAGAGCGGAAAGAATGAAGAAAAAGACTAGACGCCAATAGAGCTTCAGTGAATGAGATTGTGTTCACTCCGTCCTCTGTATTTATCAGGGAAAGTTCGTCGTCTTCGTCTTGGTGCTTCCATCACAAACGCGACAGTTCAAAATGAAATTGAGAGTGAATAGCGTGTTTTGATCGATTACAGTCGTTCGGGGTTTCATATACCAAGCGTTTGTCGGTCTGTTTATCCATCTATTCATCTATCCATCGATCCATCCATTCATCTTTCCATCCACCCACCCATTCATCCATCCATCCATCCGTCCGTCCGTCCGTCCTTCTCTCTTTCCGTCCGTCCCTCCTTTCCTTCGTCCGATTGTCCGTTCACCCGTCCCTCCCTCTCTTCCTCCATACTTCGCTCCCTCCCTTCCTCCTTTTCTCCCTTACTCCCTCCCTCCCTTCGTCCCTCCATTCCTCCATCCCTCCATCCCTCCATCCCTCCATCACTCCATCCCTCTCGTCCTCCCTCCCTCCCTCTCTTCCTGCCTCTATCTTTCCCTTCCTCCGTCCGTTCATTGTTCCGTGCGCCCCCCTTCCCTTAGTCCCTCTGTCTTTTCCTCCGCCCGTGCTCCCTTCCTCCTCCTCCTCTCTGCCTCCGCCCGTACTCCCGCCTGCCTCAGCGTTCTGTTTCTATTGTTACCTCTATAATACGCACGTAACTCTGCGACACCGCAATTACATCACTATGGTTACGGTGCGTTACGGTGCAGGCTTCTCTCTACTGCTGCTGCTGCTGCTGCTGCTGCTGATGATGATGATGATAATGATGCTGGTGGTGGTGTTGCTGCTACTGCTGCTGCTGCTGTTACTGCTGCTGCTGCTGCTGCTGCTGCTGCTACTCCTGCTACATTCGCTGCTGCTGCTGCTGCTACTGCTACTACTGCTACTGCTACTGTTGCTACTACTACTGCTGCTGCTGATGCTAGTGCTGCTGTTACTGCTACTGCTGCTGCTGCTGCTGCTGTTACTGTTACTGCTACTGCTGCTACTGCTATGTAGATAGTAGCGTGTTTCCATCGTATCGTAACCGAGCGCAAACACTATCCGTTACCCGTAGTATAGTGTCGCTGTGACGCACGCACCGATGCAGCTGACAATGAAGGATGTTACCGCGTGTTGACGTTACGTCACTATTCACGTGACAGGTGGCGCCAAATCGATGTCCGCCATTATCCGATATCGATCGATCAACAAACGTGCGGGTATTGGTTAACATGCGGCACACAATGGCGCGCAGGTGTGCCCACGAACACTACACTGGCGCCGATTCGTGCCTTTAAGATCAGCTGCGATGGTTCGACATAACTGATGAATAAGCTAAGCTGGGAATAATATAGACTATGAATTATATATATGTATAATGTTTGTTTGTGCGTGTGTGTGTGTGTGTGTGTGTGTGTG